TGTACTAGCACACTAGGCACAGGTAAGGAGTGGAGGTCCAGTAGCCCCAGACCCTGACATGTATACTGTGGGCTCAGCTCAGACAGCCTGCGTCCCCCAGCCTACCCTGTCAGTGCACAAGGATGAAGCGGAGGAGGCTTCACAAGGGATGACAGCAAGGTCACACACTGGAGTTCCAGGTGCCTCCACAGTCAAACTGAAGATGAAGAAGGCCTAGGCTCGCAACGTCCCAAGCCCAAGCACCTCCTTTAGCGCCTCATGGGTTCATGATTGGTCCTAACCCTACTCCCTGTTGTGAGGAGCAGGAGGGATAGGAAGGTAGCTGGGACCATTTGGAGCTGGTCAATCAAAGAAAATCAGATACTAAGCCAAAAAGCACCAGGGATGGTGGTGCACACCTTTAATCCCTACACTGGGGAGGCAGAGGCAGGCAGATCTCTGTGAGCTCAAGGCCAGCCAGGACTACGTAGTGAGACCCTGTTTCAAAGATAAACTAATTCAAAACTAAACTAAACCAAAGACCAGAGAACCCCCAGAAAGCTCACAGACAACATCCACAATGCTCCAGACTCCAGCCCGGACTCCAAGGCCAACTGTAGTCCCTCTGACCTCAGCCAGCCGGCAGCTGCTCCTCCCAGGCTCAGGCCACTCTGAACCACTAAAGCTCCATTCCCCTGCCTTAAAGCCCAGGCCTCCTTGAGACCCATCTCCTCAGCTTCCAGGACCCCCTGCTCAGGTGTCATCTACTCAGGATCCCACCCCCATCCTCACAGTCCTTGCTCTCTAGATAGCCTGAGTTTAAAGCTGTTCACCTGATGGTTGTGTGATCTCAGGAAGGTGACTTCACCTCTCTGTCTCCATTTCGTCTTTAATTTAGGGCGCAAGAGCATTCGGAGTTATAAGGACTGAGTTCACGCATGCTCGGACATGGGTGATACTGACATGACACTCATTATCACTGTCATTTGCAGCATTTATAGCAGGTGTCCATTGTCATGGTTTGCCTGCCTTTACAGTCTCGAACAGCTCAACAGCTGGGGTCCATGCCGTCACACATCACAGCGTACTCTGGCACCTGCCATACCCATGTAGGGAATGAGCGAACTGGGTATGACGTTGTAAGGGGGCATTGTCAACTCTGGGGGCAGACGGGATAGGGAGTCAAAGAAGTGACGCCTGAGCTGTGTTTTGAAGGACAAAAACAAATCATCTAGACAGATTGAGAACACTTCGGGTGTCTGCCCGTGCCTGAGTCTGGGGTTCACATGAAGCTCCTGAACAAGCTGTTGGGCCTCAATCCTCCTCCAGAGAGCTTCTAGGACCACCACAACCCCTTCCACCCCTGGGGTCACTCATCCATCCATTCAGCCATTTTGAGCTCCTGCTGTATGATGGGCATTATCATTTTCTGTCTCTAGGCCTCCCCTCTCCTGCCACATAGTGAGAACCACCATCAGTTATATGTCAACTTCTCACAAACATTCAGACCCAAGGCTGGGGTATGCCTAGAATCACCCAGCACTCAGGGGCTCAGGGACCAACATCTGGCCCAAAGTCACACAGTGAGTAAGAGGGTGGACATGAGATTTTTTTTCCCCTCTGTGTGTGTGTGCATGTTTGCATGTGAGTGTTTTGTGTGTGTGGTGCATACATGTGAATATGCAAATACGTATGCCCGTGCACATGTGGCGTGAGGTCAGAAGAAGATGTCAAGTGTCCTGTCCTCTCCACGTTATTGCTTTGAGGCGGGGTCTCTCGCTGAACTAGAAGCTGACTGCTTTAGCTAGGCTAGAATCTCCGTCAGTTCCCAGGATCAACCTGTTTCCACCCTTCAAGGCTGCGAATACGGGCTTGCACAGCTGGGCCAAGCTGTTTGCATAGATGCAAACTCGGGATTCGAACTCATATCCTCTTGTTTGCACAACAAGTGTTTTTACCCACTGAGCCAACTTCCCAGACCTGAAAATGAGATTCTAATCCAAGCCTGGCACGATGGCACTCACTTGTAATCAGGAAGCTGAAGCAGGAGGATCAGGAATAGGAGGCCATCCTGGACTACATAGTGAACCTATCTCAAAATAGAACAAAACACAAAAGAAGAAGTAGGGGGGGGGAGAAAGACAAGAATCCAACCCGAGGGCTGTTTCCCGAACTTCAACGTATTCTGGTCTGGACCCCTAATGAGGCTGGGGAGGATGAAGGATGGAGAAGCTACTGCCGCTGTCCTGGGCTTCACAGGAATCAGTGGGTCCTGTGGAGGTCTGCAGCAGCACACAGACCTATGAGCAGAGCACAGATGCCCACTGCTGGCTCTGGTCTCCATCAGCTTGCCATTAGCAGCAACTGGGCAAGGAGTCTCAGGAGAATAGGACCAAATAACCCATCACCAGTTGTGGAGTCAAAACAGTTCCTAAGCCCTACTGGGAGCTGACCTGGACCAGGCTACAACTGAGGATCAGAAGTTCAAGGTCATCTTTGACAACAATCTTCATCAAATTTGAGGCCAGCCTGGGTTACATGAGACCCTGTCTCAGCTATAAAAATAAAAACAGTTCAGTACTAAGAAAAAAGAAAGTGTCCCCAAATTCTCCTTTTTTTTCCATAGCAGCAAAGGAAATTAAGAAGAGGCCACAGAAATTTAAGGTCTGCCAACCAGGCACAAGTTCAAAGGTGGTGATCAATGTCATTTTCAACTAATGTGAGATCCCTGTGGCCCTGTGGCCCAATTTCCACACTCAACACCCCGCTCCATAGCCAGCAGCTAGATGCTAGCTGAGTTTAAGTCAGGGCTTGGGGGAGGAATGCTAAGCCTCGTGTCCAGAAAAGCTCTGGAACCAGGACCACTGAGTTCAAATCCCAGCTCTGGCTGGCACTCAGGAGGCAGAGCCAGGCAGATCTCTGTGAGTTCAAGGCCAGGCTGGTCTACAGAGCAAGATCCAGGACAGGCACCAAAACTATACTGAGAAACCCTGTCTCGGAAAAAAAGAAAGAAAGGAAGGAAGAACGAAAGGAAGGAAGGAAGGAAGGAAGGAAGGAAGGAAGGAAGGAAGGAATGTCTGCCACTTCCTGCCTCTGTGATCCTAGACAGGCTGTTGACCTCTCTGAGCCTGAGTTATTTTTCATCCGGGATAAGTGCGGGGAGAGAGCAGCAGGGTGGAGAGCATTAGTTACTTTTCTTCCTGTTATAATCAACCCCCTGACAGAACGGCTTGAGGACAGAAGGGCTCATCTTGGCTCACAGTTTGAGGAAACACAGTCTATCAGGCAAGGACATGATGGTGGCGGGTGGTCACTGTGTCCGCAGTCAGGAAGCAGAGAGAGATGGTGCTGGTACCCTGAGGCTTTCTCCTTTTCCTCTTTTTAGTTAGTCCAGGGTCCCAGCCCATTGGACTGTGTCATCCACGTTCAGGGCGGGTCTTCCCTCCTCACTTAAACCTCTATAGAAACGCTCTCAGAGACATACCCAGGTTCTGAACCCAGTCAAGCTGACAGCAAGGATTAGCTACCACAGGGATGGTAAAACGGACCTGCCTCACTGAACAGAGCAAGTAAACATGTGCTGAGCGCATGAGGACACTCTACCCTGGGCTCAGGGGACAGAAGCAAGGGACCCAGTGGCTCAGATTCCACCCTGAAGGGGCCTGGCTGAGAAACTGTCTGCCCATATTCATTCTCTAGGTATCCCCTGGCCGCTGGTTAGACCTGGGCACACCAAGCACAGCTTGTTCTCTGGGGTATGGAGATGGAGCTACAAGCCAAGCTCCCATCCCAGTGAGAGCAGGGCTCACAAAGGGTGCACGGTGTCATGGAAAAATCTAGGGAGGCTTTCCAGAGGAGGCAGCATCCCAGCTGAATCTGAGGGTCGAGAAGGAAACTGCCAGAGAGACAGCAGGCTAGGGGAGGTACAGGGAGGCACAGAATGCCCAGCAGCTGGAGAGAGCCTAGGTGGCCCACTGAGGCAGCGGAAGCCAGTCAGTGTGGTGCTGCTATGAACACAGAGGGATGGACGGTGGGACCTGGAGGGAGACTGAGGCAAGCATGGCACCAAGATGGTAACCTGCTAGGTACGTCTGAGCAGGCAGGCAGGTGCCACAGTCACTTCAGCTTCAGAAGCACCCTCTACCGTGAGAGCAGGCGGAAGCGACTGTAGGAGACTAAGGGGCAAGCTGCCTGGGACTGGTGATGCTGAGCTGAGTGGCAGCTGGTTAGGAGACCGGTGAAACGTGTATTTGCCCCAGGGCCCCCTTTTTAAAGGCCTCTTCTGAAATGTCCTCAGTTGGCGGCTACGGTGCCCAGGACAGGCTGTCCAGGCTGTCCTGAGTCCTTCTTCAGGCCCCAGGCCAAAGGCCCCTAGTGAGCCACTGAGTACTTGGGTGTTCCTGGGACCTCAGCACCTATCTCTGCTCCAAAGTCCCAGTTAGGAGGTTCCAGGAAAAAACTTCCGGAGGTCACTCCATAGGACGTTTTCCACACGGCCTTCCCCTCACATGCTCATGTCCTTCCTCTCCTGTTCTCGCCTGAGCACACATACCCTCACGCGGTAAATTCTGGCAGGCCCATAGGCTTGGAGTCCTGAGCTGGGGAAGTCAGGACACACAGAGCCTTGAGCTCAGAAGGCAGCAGAATCGTGCACAGGACGGACACACACACGGACACACACACACACACACACACACAGGGCAGCAGGATGTGCACAGGGCACACACTCAACCAAACAGAATTCCAGAACTTGCTACAGAGGATTCCATTCCGCCCTGCCATAAACTGCCAGCCTGAGGGGGCCTACTGCCCCTGGGGCTCTTTGGGGAGACTACTAGTTATAACTTAAGAAGTCCGTGAGTTCTGGGATTTCTCCTTCCAGAAAGGACTATAAAACAGACAGCAGACAGTGAGACTGAAGATGCAGGTCCTGACCTAGGGAAAGGGAAGCATCTGCTTTCTGGACCCCACATCGGGAGGCCCGTTTGTCTCCCAGTCCACCCTCACCCACCGCTCCATACCCTTCGCAAGTGGTTTCCCACATTCTGGATCATGGCTGCTCCGCCTGCTGGGTGGCCAGGCTCTGGGGGGTCTGCACGCTCCTAGAGGGCCTCTGGTCACCTGAGCCACGGGCGGCCAGCAGCTCCTAAAGCAGCCGGCTTCTCAGGGCTCCTCCTCCCAAGCTCCCGCCCTCCGGAGCCAGCTGCTCTATCTCCGCCCCATGTCCTGGCCTCTCCTCAATCTGCCCTCTGTGCACCCCTCCAACCCCAGCACAGAAGGCTCCCTAGCACCCGCCTGCTGGGCCACAGCCACATGGGGACTGGTGCCCACCTACTGGTACCACCAGACTCCATGCTTCTACACTCAGCCGAACTCCAGCCCCCCACTCCCTGCCCTTAGCTAACAGAATGGCTCCGAGATCCCAGAGCTCCAGCTTTCTTGCCAGGGATTTCATTCACCCGCAAGAGGGCAGGCTGGAGCATGGCAGGATGCCAGGGAGCTGCCAAAGCCTCCTAGAGAGACACCAGACCCACCTGCCAGGATTTCACCTTCCAGAGTGCTGCCCACTGGCTCCTGGGCCCAGGCTGAACTGGGAGACAGAACACCAGCCTTTGACAGCCACTTCCTTATAAGCTGGTGGTTCTTCTAAAGGAGGCACATGCCAAAGTCCACCGTGCAAGATACGCAGCAGTCGGGCACCCACGGCCACCAACAGGTGAAAGCCCTCCAGGATTTCCCCTTTTCCTGTGTCACTTCCACAAGAGGTTTGAGCCAGAGGCCTTGACACTCACACTGACCAGGACAAAAAAAAGTCTTGGAGGTCAAAGGGGAACAAGTGGCTGAGGACAAACCCTAGAACACCAGACCCCTCTGTGATTCAGGGTTCCTGCTGGTCCTGTCCCTACCCCACAAGGATGGTCCTTGGGGCTGGGAAGGAATGCACCCTAGGTGCCATGGCCAGTACAGAGCAGACGGGGAAAGTCTCTTCTGCCCCCTGCTTCCACGTCAGCCACCACACAGCTGACAATATGTCCTCTGCCAAAGGCCCTGTGTTCACTACCTCGCCCGGGACTCTGAGCGAGTCTGCTCCTCTCTCAAAGCCTCTGCTCTAGGACTCAAGGGCTAGCACACCCTTCCTCGTGAGTTCTTGTCGCCTATCAGCACTCTGTATCTGCAAAGGGGAAAGTGAAGTTATAGCGTGAAGGTAGCAAGATGGGCGCCACATGTGCTAATTCATGCCTGCTATCCCAATACTTCGGAAGCGGAGGCAGGAGGACGGCCATGAGTTCAAGGCCATGGCTTGCATGTAGCACTTAGGCTGCATGGTGAGTTTCAGGCCAGCTTGATCTATCATACCATGTTAGACATTGTCATTAAAAAAATAAATAAATAAAAAGGAGGTTGGGGACCGGAGAAATGGCTCAGTGATAAAGTACACTTGCTCCTCTTCCAGAGGAGCCAAGTTTGGTTCTAATACCCATGTCAGGTGGCTCACAACCATCTGCAACTCCAGCTCTAGGAGATCCAATGTCTCTGAGCTCAACGGACATCTGTATTCACGTCCACATACCCGGATGTAGACACACACACCAACACCTAATTAAAAGTAAATATTTTCTGAATAGGGGTAGAGGCTGGGGAGATGACTCAGTTTGTGTTTGTTACTGCCAGCATGAAGACCTGAGTTTGGCTCCTTAGCACCCACGTGAAAAGCTGGGTGCAGTGGTGGGCACCTGTGATCCCCGCACTAGGGAGGCAGAGACACACAAGATCCCTGAGGCTTGCTGGCCAGCCTATCTAATAGAATGGGTAAGTTCCAGGTTCACTGAGAGACCCTGTCTCAAACAATAAAGTGAGACCGCGAGATGGCTCAGCATGCAAAGGGTGCTTGCCACCTGTGGGGCTTTGAATGAGAATGACCCCCATAGGCTCGTATATTTGAATGCTTGGTCACCAAGGAGTGGCACTGTTTGAGAAGGAATAGGAGGTGTGGCCTTGGAGTAGGTGTGGCCTGTGGGAGGAAGTGTGTCATTGGGGGTGGATTTTGAGGTTTCAAAAGCCTAAGCTAGGGGCAGTATTGATCTGCTGCCTGTACCTGTGGATCTGGATGTAGAACTCTCTACTTCTCCGGCACCATGTCTGCCTCAGTGCCTCCACGCTCTCCACCATGATGATAATAGACTAAACTTCAGAATCTGTAAGCAAGCCCCCAGTTAAATGCTCCCACCCACCACCCCCCACCACCCCCCACCCCCGCCTAGCTGAGGACCAAACCCAGGGCCTTGCCCTTGCTAGGCAAGTGCTCCACCACTGAGCTAAATCCCCAACCCTGCTTTTTTTTTTTTTTTTTTTTAATAAGATTCACCTTTGCCATGGTGTCTCTTCACAGCAGTAGGGCACTGACAAAGACACTACCCCACAATGCCAGTCCGACAGCCTGAATCCGATCCCCTGAGCCACACAAAGGGGGAAGGAGGGACCTGACTACACAAAGTTGTCCTTTGACCTCCACAAATGTGTGGCACATGTGTCCCCCTGCCATACATACATCACACATGTACACATACTCAATAATAATAATAAATGAAATCAATCAAAACCTTTTTAAAGATGAAGACGCAGGAGTTCTTTTCTGAGGAAAAGAACTCTGGCCTACACACATGCGTGTGCGCATGCGCACACGCACACACACACACACACAAAGCACTAAGGATCTGAGAAATCCAGGTGGCTTCTGGAGGAGGTGGTACTAACGCCAGCCTTAGAGGCTGAATGGGCTTGGGCAGGCTGGGAGGAATGGTGTGGTGGAGGGCCTGACAGGACAGGACAGGTGCAGTCCTGGGCTATGGAGAGCGTCACCTTACAGGAAAGCAGGGACCTGTTGCCAAGGGCCTCAGGGAACAGGCAACAGGGTTTAGCATTGAGGTTCCTCTGTGCATGGTGAACATGCCCAACGCGATGAAGCCTTGCAAGGAAGTCAGAGCAGGTGTTGAGAGACCTCCCTGGACAGCTCAGCTCACTGAGTCCACACGTTATGTAACAGGCACAGTTACCGAGCTCACTACCTCCACCCCCAGGCTCCCCTCTCTCCAGAGACCACCTCAGGCTCACCAGCCTCAATCCAGCGCCTCCATCTTAGACCTGGACAAACGGAATGAAGCCCAGAGATGGAAAATGAAGCTTGAAAAGACATGCTGTGTGGAAGTTGTCCAGAATCACCACTCCTGACCATAAGCCCAGAGCCCCATCCAGCTGATCCTGCCACAAGGCACACAGTGGGAGAGGCTTTGCTCAGACATCAGACAGGGCTTCCAGCGAGGCTGAATCCCAGGAGTGCACAACAGAGGACTAGATCTTTCTACAGAGGCTCCTGCAACTCACCCAGCTATGTCCTGTCTGAACTGGTTCCTGGGAGCCCTCGAGGTTCTGCCCTATCTGTTACTAAGAGATGTTTCCACGGGCATCCACCTCCCCTTGCAACTCACTTTAGTCCCAAGGGCCAGGACCACATCTCCCTCATCTCTGGGCCCCATCCTCAATACCCAGACCACAGCCCCATATCCAGATCCCTAGGTCCTAGAAGGACCCAAACTTCAGCCTGCATCAGGACCACCCAAAGGGCCCCTTAACATCCAGGGTGCTGGGCCTCCCCCAGGTTTTTTTGTTTTGTTTTGTTTTGAATTCTAATACGTACAAGTGTTTTGCCAGCATGTACGTCTGTACACCACTTGCACCATTAGTGCCCTTAGAAATCAGAGGAGGATGTCAGATCCCCTGGAACCATCCTCTGATGGTTGTGAGCAGTCATGTGGGTGCTGGGAATTGAACCCTGGTCCTCTGGAGAGCGGCCAGTTCTCTTAACTGCTGAGCCATCTCCAGGAAGCCTCTGTGGTCTGCATGGAAGCACGCACCTGTTCACACACACTTCACAGCCCTGTTATCTCCCTGTGTGCTGGAACCCGAGCCCAGGGCATTGTGCATGGGAGGAAGATAGCGTCCCTACCTAGTGCTTTTTCTCTTTAGTTGGTTTATGTTAGTGTCCTCTCTTTTTTTATCTCAAGTAAGCTGGCAGTGGAAATGGAACAGATTCATCAGAACACCGCACCCCCCTTCACAGTGAGAGCCTTGAACATAGTAGATGTTCAGTGAGCATCTAACAACGGTGGAATGGAGGAATCTTACATGCAAGGGGACACTGAATGGAAGTACATGCCTGAATAAGCATCTGCTCAAATGGATGCATGCAGGAATATTGTCATCCTCTGGCGGTCTCCAGCCTCTGGGGCCCTGCAGTGTAGCCTGGCAGATTAAAGGAAGCTTTGAGATAAAGATGGGGGTGGGGCATCAATGAAGGGAGGGGCCAAGAAAAGAGTAATGACATCAGCAGAGGAGGAACCGGAGGTAACAGTTCAGAACAGTTCAGAGCCAGGGGCCCTAGCTCCAAACCCCATGCTTTGTGGAGGAAAAGCCTGTAAAGGGGAAGCCCAGGGAGAGGAGAGGCAGCGTTCACGGAGGTGAGGATAAGGTGGAGCCTCATCTAGGAAGCAATGTTTAGCCAGCCCTGAATACCATCCTGTCCGATAGGTTCTGAGACACGGATTCTAGTTTCTGCCAGCTCCTGATGCGTGGACCTCCCACGTGGCCAGCTGCTGAGGGTCTGGGCCCGGCCCAGCTTCCCAGATTTGGCTTTTGCTCAGGAATTGTTCTCACCTCACCCTATGCCAAGTAAGTCATCACGAGGTGCACACCCTAGGGAGTTTGAGCCCTCAGGTCCCTAGTGGCCCGCCTGGGGCCCTCCCCCATCCTCACCGAGGCCAGCATCTAAGTACCCATCGCCTGAGTGGAGGCCAGTCCCTAGCAGAGACCGGACCTGAGAGTCGTGCAGGGAGACGACCCACGGAGCTGAGAAGCCAAGGACACATGTGCCCTTCCAGAAAGGGAAGAGTGACGCGTGCGCGCGGGGGCTCTTACCCAAGTGTTGGGACAATTCAGACCCCACGGTTGGCAGGGCGGAGTCCGGGACTCCCCGGGTGCCAAAGCAGCGGCGAGGGGAGACTGGAGCTCAGCGGAAGCGCCGGCTGTAGACGGGAAGGCGGGAGCGGCCAGACGAGTTCCTGGGCCAATCTGTGCCCTCCCTCCCCTGCCTGGAACGGGTGGGGCCGCCCGGGGCGCGAGGTCAGCGGGATCCCAGAGGTCCAGGCCCCCGGGAGGGGGAGATCT